CTTTGTTAGCTGTCAGAAGTGACAGCAAATAATTCTTAACCTTCTACATGCAGCTAGATTCATTAGTGGAGCTTTCAAACTATTATGGTCAGTCAGCCTGCTCCAGAAAATCTTAAATCTCATCTTTTCTAATCTGAGGAAAATCTATTTTGTACAGGTGTGACCTGTGTCTGTTAATAACCTTTAATACTGTCTGATGTACCACTGAGTAGTTTTCATTTTTCATTTCGTTTTCACTGTGTAACAATAGTCTAAAGCAGTCTCTAATGTGCATTTACTTGTATGCTTATAGAGCTTTCAGGTACTTCTAGGTTCATGCTGAGTGTGAAATGCTCAGGGAGTCGTGAGAAAGAGAACATTTTCTGAAATCTCTAAATTCTGATTTCATTCATTATTTTTTTAAAATCACACTTATACCCTAGAAGCTTTCTGAGGGATACCAAGATTTTCCTTGTGCTTCACTTTCAGTGTGTTTTTAAATTGCACTCAGCACTATGCCGTGCTGACATCTAAAAGATTAATAATAATTAATTATAATAATAATTAATATTCAACCCAATGTTTTGAAGTCAAAAGCTTATCATCAAACATGTTACTCAGACATCTCCTCCATGCCTGCTTCATGCCCTGGGGGACGGGGCTATGGCTCCCTACACCTTCTAGCATATCGTTACATGGAGAAACCTTTAATACAAGCGCGCTCATCCACCCAGGTGTTCACTGGTGTTCAGTGTTCATAGACACAAACCACACCTTTCTTGGCTGCTACCTCAAAGCACATTGTGCGCTGTCGGTCCTGTGTGCTGCACAACAACACTCAATATTTAGTATTTACTGTTATTTACACTTAGCTAGATTAATGCGATGGTGTTGTGCTTATTATGCTGCTCTCTTTTTTTCCATGTTTTCTCTTTTTTTTCTCTCAACAGGTGATCCGGGAGATCTTTTTTCTTTTTAAGTGTCCTTTCTCACTGTCCCTCTTCCCTGTTTTTCTTTTCCTTCCTCTCTTTTCCCTTTCCTATCCCCTAGCCATGTCTGTCCCTTTTGCAACAACTGAAAATAAAATAAAATAAATAATAATAACAATGGTCAATCAAATAGACCAATACCGCAAGGTCGTGATGATCCACTTGTTAAAGTAAATCCGTTGGATATCTTTGTAGGCGTTCAGACAACAATTCTGACGGCTAAAGAACCAAATGTGACAGGCAAAAAAGAAAAGAAAACGAAAAAGACATGTTACTTAAAATCTTGCATAAAACGTGTACCCTTTGACCTCTCTGTGTGTTAGAAGAAGAGAAGGCAAAAACAAAAGCAGTCAGTGGATAAGTTTTTGGTCTCTTTGTGGTGCAATCATCCTTAATAGGACTACAGAAAGCAGAGACTCTTTATATTTGACATGTGATTAGTACAACAAATTTCATTTATTTATTTTTACAAGAAACTTAAGAGGTGTGTGTTAATTGGAAGCATCATATTTGGTGTGAGGTGTGGATAGCTGGAAGATTCTGCAGCA